CTCTCCAGGCTAGAGATGCTAAAGCAATTGGATGAAATCAGGAGGCAAAAGAGCTGAATAGAAAATTTCAAAAGACAGCTCAAGAAGACAGAGTCAGCCATTATAACTAAATGTGCAAAGACCTGAAGTTACAAAGCCAAAAGGGAAAACCATGCTTGCATTTTTCAAACTGAGGGAACTAAAGAAAAATTCAAGCCTCAACTTGAAATACCATGGGTAAAATATTGAATGATACAGAAAGCATCAAAGAAGATAGAAGGAATACATAGTTACTGTACCAGAATGAGATAGTTGATGTTTATCCATTTGAAAATGTAGCATATGATCAAGAGCCAATGATACTGAAGGAAGAAGTCAAAGATTCATTGAAGGTAAAGAACAAGACTCCAAGAATTGATGGAATACAAATTGAAATCTTTCAACAAACTGATGTAGCACTGGAGGCACTGACTTATCTCTGCCAAGAAATTTGAAGGACAACAGAACGTGGAAGTGAGTTATTGGACAGTATCATTAATATCCCATGCAAGCAAAATTTTGCTAAATTAAAAATGGGACTCCAACCGTAAATTGGCAGAGAACTGTCAGAGACTTAAGCCGGATTCAGAAGAAGAAATGAGACGAGGGATATCAGATGGATGTTGGCTGAAAGCAGAGAATGCAAGAAAGATGTTTACCTGTGCTTTATTGAGTAAGAAGGGCTTTTGTGGATCATGACAAGGTATCGACAGCATTGAGGAGAATGAGTATTCTGGAATATTTAATTGTGCTCTTGAGGTGCCTGTATTTAGACTAAGAGGCAGTTGTTCAACTAGAACAAGGTTTGAAATTGGAAAGGTGTACACCAGGGTTGTATTCTTTCACCATACTTATTCAATCTGTATGCTGAGCAAATAATCTGAGAAGCTGGATTATATGAATAAAAACATGGTATCAGGATTGGAGGAAGAGTCATTAACACCTGCGATATGCAGATGATACAACCTTGCTTGCTGAAAGCAAAGAGGAATTAAAATACTTAACTAATGAAGGTGAAAGACCACAGCCTTTGGTATGGGTTGCACCTCAAAGTAAAAACAACAAAAATCCTTACTTCTGGACCAATAAATAACATTACAATAAATGGAGAAAAGATTGGAGTTGTCAAAGACTTCATTTTGCTCAGATAAACCATCAACACTCATAGAAGCATCAGTCAAGAAATCAAACGACATATTTCATTAGGCAAATCGCTGCACAAGACCTCTTTAAAGTGTTGAAGAGCAAAGATGTCAGTTTGAGGACTAAGGTACACCTAACCTAAGCCATGGTATTTTTCAGTAATCTCATATGCATATGAAAGTTGGATAGAAAATAAGGAAGACTGTAGAAGAATTGATGCATTTGAGCCTATGGTGTTGAAGAAGAATATTAAAAGTACCATGCCATGCTAAAAGGACAAATGAATCTACGTTGAAAGAACTAAATCCAGGCACCAAACCTGCACAGCCAACCCCCACCTCATACTGGTGTGAGTCAAAATCACATGCTCCCACTTCCTGGTGAGCAGAGTCTACTCTGGGGTACATGATGGTGGGAGGTGACATCTCTGGTAACCAGGGGAGTGTGGGGCAAAAAAAAGTGTCTCACCTTTCCCTTTCCTATTTAATCTGCTCTGCCAGGACACCTTCTGTCGCCAAAGCTGCTCACAAAATTCAAGGTCACTTCACATCTGGCTGGCGATTTACCAGTCAGTCTCCCTCTCTCACTGCCCCTGCTCAACTTCTCCCAGCAAGCACTCAGTCCACTTCTCTAACCTTTCCTCTGAAGGTCAGGGTTCCAGGATTTTCATCTGTTTCCTTTGGTCCCTCATATCTTTGTTGTAGAGTTTCCACGTAGTGCGTCTACCTAGTTTGCCATCTTGCTGCAAGTCTATTATCTTTTTATTGTGAAATGTTTTCTGGCACTTAGGTATAGATGATGGTTAAGGAGTGTCTATAGATGCATATGACGTGTACAATTTTTTAACAATTTAAATTAGAATGCGACTTAAAAATAAGCAAGATGAAATGAAGCTTGAAGGAGACCTTAAGAGAAGCCAGTGTGCCTGTCAGCAGTTGGATATGCAGAAGGTAAGCCTTTACCCACTTTCACTTTGGTAAAATATTGTAACACACAGTCCTGGTGTACTGCTGTGGGATAATGTGCTGGACTGCAGGTCATTTGAGCCACAAGGTTTGTAGTTCAAACTCACCAGCTGCTAGACTGTCAGCAGCTTGGTGACAATATTGTTTGAACTCTGTATCCCAATAGTTTATGGAACAGTACCTTATTCTTAAGGAGCTCTGGTAGCGTAGTAGTTACGAATCGGGCTGCGAATCTTAAGGTCAGCAGTTCGAAACTACCAGCCGCTCCATGGGAGAAAGATAAGGCTTTCTACTCCCGTAAAGATTTACACCCTCGGAAACCCTGTACAGGGTCGCTATGGGTTGGAACTGACTCGACGGCACTTAACAACAACAACCTTACTCTTAAAGAGCTCTGGTAGCGTAGTGGTTATGATTTGGGCTGCTAACCTCAAGGTCAGCAGTTTGAATCTATCAGCCATTCTGTGGGGAAAAGATGAGGCTTCCTGCTCCCGTAAAGATTTACAGCCTCAGAAACCCTATACAGGGTCACTATGAGTAGGAACCGACTCCATCGCACACCACCACCACCACCTTACTCTTGGAGCAGTACTCAGTAAATATGTATTAAAAAAGTGGATACATGTTAAAATGAATAGACCACTAATAGCTGTAACAGCATTGCACAGTTATGTTTAATTGAGACTAAGTCTATCTTTTCAGAATATTCAAGTTCCCCGGGAGGTATGGTACTGGTTGAGGCCTGAAGAGGAGAGTGAAGAAGAGGAAGAAGAAGAAAAAGATCAAGATGAAGATGAATATAAGAGTGAAGATTTAAGTGTATGTTTGCCCCCAGTTTTTTACAGCAGGGTTTCTTGGCACTGTTGACTTTTTGGACTGAGTATTTTTTTGTTGTAGGTCCTGTCCTGTACATGCATTGTAGAATGTTTAGCAGCTTCCCTGGCCTCTTATCTTTTAGATGTCAGTATCTCACCCAGCCCCCTTATGACTGCCAAAAGTGTTTCCAGACACTGCCAGTTTGGAACCACTGATTTACAGGATTATTTTTATAAACCCCAAATCAAAGCTCTTATAATTTCTCCCTTTAACTTCGGTTTGCTCTCTCCTCACCTAGGTTTGAATGATGGATTACTTGCAAATGTAAATTATTTTAATTTATACCTTATTTCCAGTTAAACTTCAAGAGATTCTAATGACTACGTACCCCCAGTAAGCAGTACAAACCAAAACAGAAAAAACATAATCTAAAGAAAATGGAGATTACTCAAGATGGAAGATATAGTCCTAGTTACTTACATGTAAGAATTTTGTAGAGAACATTTGAAAAGCCTTTGTTCCACTTAACTGGGTGACCATATTGAGAACGTTTATGGCCAAAAAGAAAAAAAAAAAAGTAGTATGTACACTCATGCTCATATGGGGCGATAGATTCCTTAAAATAGGAAGGATTGTTAAGGGATACTGACTATAATACAACCATCTAAAACAGATATTTCAGCAAGTGGTCTCTATTACAGTGCCTGAGATACTGTAAAACTCTGAGTGTGGCTAGTAAGTTGGTTCCCATTGTTTTAATCTTATTATTTGTACACTAACATCTCTAATACCTGATTGAGAGTATAGCAGAGAATTATGGCCTTGGGTGAATTCAGCGTGATTTAAGGTACTTCAGGAGATCAAGGTCCTGTTCAATATAAACTGTTAATATACTGTGTCTATATCTAGGTACTGGAAAAATTACAAATATTGACTAGTTATTTAAGAGAAGAACATCTGTATTGTATTTGGTGTGGGACAGCCTACGAAGGTAAGAAAATGCTTTAAACTTATATTCATTACTGAATAAGAGTGCTCTTTGATTTTTAGCTGTGCTTTTTTATAAAAGTAACATTTCCAGTGGAAATGTTTGATTATATCCAAATAGCAATGTGGGATGGATGTCTTAAAAAAAATAGTGATTTTAAAAATAATTGAGACCTTGTTGAGGTTGCTTCTAACTTTTCAGAAACTAAATGCACAGAAGGAAAATTTCAGTCTTCTACTTCAAAATAAGCAATTTTTTAATCTTCTTGAGGAAGATGAAAAAATTTTTTCCAGCTTTATTTTAAAGATTCTTTCTTTAGCAATAGGTACTTCAAAGAAATTTGTATTTAATTAGTAGAACTAATTTCTACATGTTGTTGTTGTTGTTAAGGTGCTGTGGAGCCGGTTCTCATAGCCACCCTGTACAGGTGTTTCCGAGGAGCACTTGGGGGTTTGAAATGCTGACCTTGTGGTTTGCAGCCCAGTGCTGATACACAGTGCCACACCCAAAGTCCATAATGTCTACATTGTTGTTAAGTGCTGTAGAGTTGGTTCTAAACCATCGTGACCCTGTATAGGGTTTCTGTGGAGCTGGTGAACTTGAGCCGCCAACCTTGTGATTCAAACTGATTTTGCAGTCCAGTCCATTAACCTGCCACACCATTCCCAAACCATAAAAACCAGATATCAAGAAATATACCCCCCCTTTTTTATTTTATTGTATGGGAAAAGATGGCTTAAGGCTTGCCACATGTCTTATGGACTTAAGAGACATTTTCTAATTTGTATGAAGAGGGTTTCAAAAAGTTTGTGGAAGATGGAATAAAAAGAATGGAATTTTTCTACAAACTTTTTAAATCCCTTAATATTTAATGACTTTTTAGTTGACAATGAAGATGTTGTAGTTATTCTTGTTTCTTTTTATCTATTCTTCATTACTAAAATAAGTAGATCAAAAATACAATGTTACATTGAAATAGTTTACTATAAAAACTGTATTTTTTTATTTTCCCCAGATAAAGAAGACTTATCTTCAAATTGCCCTGGACCAACTTCTGCAGATCATGACTAAAAATATTCCCAGTAAAGTGGAACCTAGAAAAATATTCACGTTTCTTAGACCAAGCAATTGGAATTTGCAGATTTTTTATGCCAGTACAGAAAGAGGTCCTTCATGAAAGATTTTATTCATTTATGTACTTTCAAAGTATATAATTATTCACTGACTTGAGAAAATAGTGGGATGCTACTTTGGAACACAAGTATCACAGGCATGGCCAATGACAATTTATGACTGTATTATGATACCTCTGATGTCTAAGGACACCAATATGTACTCCCCTTTTTTGCCTCTTCACTTTGGAATAAATTGAATAAGGCATGAGAGTCAGCAGGAGATTGATACATAGCCGCTGTATTAGTGATAAAACCAAGATGGAGAACAAGTTTGACTTGCTCTCGAGTTGGGCTCCCTGATAGTTCTGCAGTGGGAGAGAGTGGCAGCCTTCTTCCTAGCAGGGGCAGAACCGATTTACTCTCAGTTAGATCGAGCCACACATGCTCAGTGCCTTCTCCCAGTTTTACTAACAGACACTTTTTTGTTGGAAAGGAATACATGAGGGTTCAGAGTACTTGTTCCCAAACTTCTCTCTCCCAAGGAGAGGTTTTCTTCCTCCTTGTACAAGCATGAAGAAGAGAAAAAATATTCCCTTCAGTGAGACTGAGGTCAGTGGCTTTGTTCGAGTGTTGTTGTTATTGTTACTGTGTGCTGTTGAGTTGATTCCAATTCATAGCGACCCTGGTGGGTTTCAACCACCAACATTGTGGTTAGTAGTCCAGTGGTTATCCTGCAGCACCATGCCAGAACTCCCATTCTTCCATTTGTCATTGTTAAGTTTCATTGAGTTGGTTCTAACTCATAGCAACCCTGTACAGGGTATCCAAGGAGAAACTGGTAGATTTGAACTGCCAATCTTGAGGTTCAGTCCAGTGCTAATCTTATAGCACCACATCAGGAATCTATTGTTGCTGTTGTGAAGTACTGTTGTGTTGGGTCCAACTCATGGCAACCTTGTATAGGGTTTCCAAGGAGCAGCCGGTTATGTCTGAACTGCTGACCTTGTGGCTCAGAGTCTGGTGCTGATCCTGTAGTGCCATTCCAGGACCAGCCACGTCTTGGAAATGCTATATATACATCACTAAAAGTCAGAACCAACATGACTACACTTTACAACAACAGGGGTTCATTAGCAGTACCAAATTCTAATTTTTGAAACCAAGTAATTATAATACTTACATTAAAAATCTTGAGTTTCCAGGGAGACGTGTATAGCCTATGTAGGAGATCTTTTGAGTAAAGTCGTTTTTCTGTCTAAAACTAAAATTGGCTTACCTACTATTTAACTGAACAATGATCTACGACATGGCATACTTTTAAGGAGCCCATCCATGGTTGGGCATGAAATTGGGAATTATTCTGAAGTGTCACATTCCTAAATGACTCCATTAGTGATTTTGATTCAGCTAGTTTAGGATTGTTCCTTGGGGATGTCTGGATTTATTTTTATGAGTCTGGTAGGCACTTGAGTTTGAGCACTGGTGCTATAAATTAAATATAGAGCATCAACCTCCTTTGGATCAGTTGGGGTACCAATTTTTACCTCAACTAATACACAGCTTTCCTTTCAATAGCACTGAGCAAGAAACCGACCTCTTCTTCCTCTGTTAGGTATACTGTGCACAAGAACTGCAAAAGTGCATCTTCACTTGAACAGATTAATACAATCAGAGGATTAATCTTTGACCTAAAGGAGAGTTTTTTAAAAAGATAATGCAAAGGTACCACTCCCAGAGATTCTGATGAAGCAGGTTACAGGACTGGGCATTACTTCTCTCGTCTCTAAGCTGAAGCGGAGATTGATAACCATTAACTGAGTTAACTTTTGGGCCTTAGTTCCTCATCCAGAAAATGAGTCATTACTTTTATGAATGTAAAGATAGATGCAAATATTGTTTATGATTGTACACTATTGCTTAATGTTTAGTCCCAAGTCAATATCAAAAATCTGAAAAAAAAATGTTATTAGTAGCTGAAACAAATGAATAAATACATCTTTTCCTTGGAGTTAAAATAAAGGACTTACCTGTCATTTAACTAGCATACCGATCTACAGTTAATCCCAAAGAAAGTCATATGACTTGTTTCACATGGAATAGACTTAGACATGAACTGGCATCTCTTTTTAATCTTCTGACAGACTATGAGAACAAGCCACCTCAGGTGTAAGGGCCTAGAATATTTCAGATGTGTTCCTGAAGAATTATGCTGAGAATATGAGAATAACCTTGATGGAATCCAAGACTCCCCCAATGTTGTGGCCACCATTTCCTGTGCTCTGATTATGTAGACTAGCCTGAGAATGTGGCAGGTGTCCCTCCATCCTTGTCCTTAAATTTAAGGTTGAAAACACAGGCTTTCAATATGAGTAAAAACTATTTAGTCATATTGACCTTTTTTTATGACTTCCTAACTAGAAAATAATGAGACTGGAGGAACCAAAAGTTTAAAATTATTTTATTTTGCATGAAATTTAACATAAAAACAGTAAATTTTAACATGTCACTCTTTTGTTTATATTATGCTGTGTGTTTTTTAAATCCTATCTAGGATATAAAAAATGTTTCATTTTAATAAAAAACCCAAAATACTGTAGCTTCTGAATTAGAAAATAAACGCACTCTAACAAACCATCATCAGTTTAATTTACACCGACAATTCAGTTGCTATTTGCTAAACATGAAATTGTTGAAGTTTGAAAGTGAATATTATTATTATTTAACATAGGAATGTTTTATAGGCTAAATCATAAGACCCTGGTAATTCTTCTTATATTGCCCACCAATTCAAATGTTTTTGTATTGCTCCATGCCAGCAAGTCTGTTCCAGCTCATAGTGAACCTCAGCACAACAGAATAAAACACTGCCCAATCCTGCGCTATCTTCACAATTGTTGTTCGAGACCACTGTTGCAGCCATTGTGTCAATTCATCTTGTTGGGGGTCTTCCTCTTTTTCTCTATCTACCAAACATGATACTCTTTTCCAGGGACTGGTCCCTTTTGATCCCCTGTCCAAAGTATGTGAAACTAAGTCTCCCCATCTTTACTTTTAAGGATCATTCTGGCTGTAGTTCTTCCAAGACTCATTTGTTGTTTGACTGGCAGGCCATGATACTTTGACTAGTCTTTGCCAACACCCTTATTCAAATACATCAGTTCTTCTCCTTTGTTTCTTATTGTCCAACATTCATATACATATGAGAGGACTGAAAATACCATGCTTGAGTCAGGTGCACCTTAGTCTCAAAGTGACGTCTTTGTTCTTAGTTCCTGCTTGATGCAGGGTAGTGTGTGTGTGCTGCCCTGGGGTTACTGAATAAAAATGAGAAACCCTGCTTTTCAGAAATTCATAGTATGATGAGGGAAATGCCCATATGAGACTTAACTGTGCTCCAAGGAAAACTTGTAAGCACAGTGGTGAGGTACGAAACAATGAGAGCAGTAGACAGAAGAAGCATTCTGAGTAGGACATGGTTCCCACATACATGCACCTAAGTGAGTAGGTTTAGGTTCTGAAAGATGGGCGTAACTTTGACAACATTGGGAGGAAGGAGTTACCATGTTACCCAACAATTCTCCTAGGTATATACGCAAAAGAAATGGAAATACATGTCCACTTAAAAATTTGTTCATGAATGTACACAGAAGTAGTATTCATAATAGCCAAAAAGTAATAACAACTTAAACGTTAACAAAATATAGTATATCCATACAATGCAATGTTATCTGGTCACCAAAAGAATGAAGTATTAACCTAAGCTACAACGTGAATGAACCTTGGAAACATTCTGCTAAGTGAAAAAGACCACAAATTGTATGATTCCACATATGCGAAGTGCCCAGAATAGACAAATCTATAGAAAAGAAAAGGAAAGTAGTGATTGACCAGGACTGGGAAGGTTGGGAGGAAATGAGTAACAACTGATTGGTACATGTTTATTTGGGAGTAACAAAGATGTTTTAAATTGTAGTGATGATTACACAGCTCTGAATGTACACACCACCACTGGATTGTACACTTTAAGAGGGAAAATTGTATAAGTGAATTATATCTCAATAATGGAGTTTATTTTTAAATAACATTGGACAAGAGGTACATAATGGGAGATAAAAATGTGAAGACAAGACTGGAGCCAAACTGGGAAGACATATCAAGTCTTGGAGCCATTTGAACAAATACCTTTAGAGATTTTTGAATAAAGAAGTAACATGAGATCTGTGTTTAGAAAACACTGCCTTGCAAAGGAAAGATTTTTAGAATGAAAATCAGTTGTCTGAGTGAGCAATAAAAACCAACTGAATCAAGGCCATAATAGAAGGCAGGGACAAATACAAGAAACAACTGAGAGGTTGATAAATGGAGAACGTTTGGCACTTGACTTGGAATGTAAAGGAAAGGCTGAGTGGAAGATGAGAGAAAGCCATATTCTGTGGAGAGTATAAGAGCAGACTTAAGAGACTACTTTCATTCCATTTGTGGAAAGAAGGAATGAAAAGATAACAGAATTTCACCCAGAACTTTCTGAAGCTCTCTTGTATCTGGCTCTTAAAAGGCTCAAACAACTAAGAATCTGAAGAAATCTTTTTACTACATATTTACCCTTCATCTCTAAAGTGTCATCCAGTTCAGAATTTTAAGGTTCTATATAAAAACCTGTGTATTTTGGACATTTTGTCAGCACTTTGAGAAATCCCTGGGGGGGGGGGTGTAAACAGTTAAGTGCCCAGCTGTTCACCAAAAGGTTGGCAATTCAAACTCACACGGAGGTACCTCAGAAGGCGACCTGGCAATCTGCTTCTAAAAGGTCACAGCCCTGAAAATCTGATGGAGCTCAGTTCTCCGCAGCATATGGCCACCACGAGTTGGAATCAACTCAGTGTCAGACGGGTTGTTTGGTTTATGTTTAATCAATACTTTAAAACCCCTCTGTGGACTTTCTGGATGTCCAACCCA